TTTCGTCTCCTTCTACAAGAAGATATACGAAGAGAAAGATATGAGTGAAGGGAATAGTTAGTATCTGATAAAATAACACCTGCCAGGAGTTTGCATGACATTAGATGTCGCTCCACAACCATATTAATTATGACCTCGAAAGATTCACCACAAACCTAGCTGACTGCCTTCAGCACTCTTCGCAATAAAGCAGTCTTTTCTCAAAAGTCCAGGAAAGAATAGTGGAGAACCGTAAAGAATAATAGGTAATATGCAAGAATTGACAAAATGCAAGAGTAAATGACGTGTAACCCTAAGAGCATGCAATCTCTTTACGTCAGACGGAAAACCTTCTTCGACAACAATAAAACGTGAGAAGACCGAGAGAGATCAAAGGAAAAAGGTAACACCAAGATAATTAACCTTCGACACTGTGTTTATTAATGCTGAAAACTGATGGACCTACAAAATAAAGTCTCTATATAACATTGCTGAAGATTCGATGACTGTTGTTGTCTCCGTCATTATCTTATAGGAGACAATCCGTCCGTCAGTCAGCTACAAAATAGGACCAGTAACATATATGCATCGGTCCAAGTCGCCACACCTCATTAACACAACAAGATGAACAACAAATTCATAGAAGTAATTACTTCAATGGTAGTAATATATAAAAGAAAGATTGCGTATAAGGATACTATACAGGAAGAAAGAATTAGTTCGTAAAAAGAAAGATCATTTTAATCTCACGGTTTAAGAGAAGACAACTACGCCTTTGTGATTGATTCTGAGCAATGTCACAAAGAGTATCCAACCATTGGTTACGATAGTCGGGCGGACCCCAAGTAAGTAGTCTGCGTCTACAAACATGGCTCAGACCAGGGGTTCGTGACTTCAGGCACTGATGCCATGTTTTGGTTTGGCCGCTCTTAACTTTTTTCCAACCCTCACTACCACTTACACGGTGATTACAACAGATGCGAACAACATTTCTAAGAAATCTATGATCAAATACTAGTAGCTTACTAGTATCTTCTGCTCTTAATGGCCACGTTTCACAGCTTTAAAGTAAAACGGAACGAACTGCCGCACAGTATACTCTCCCCTTGATTGATAGACGGATATCTCGCCCTCGCAATAGGTCACGTAAGTTGACAAAAAACAAACGAGCTTTCTGAATCCATGCAGAGATTCCGTCAGACACCAACCCATTAAGGATGGTCAGACTTCCACGATAAGCGGAGTTGTCGACACGTTCGACTACTTCACTCTCTATCCTTAGTTCAGGTGTTGGCGCAGACCAGTCCTGAAGTAACAACTTGCATTTAGATGGGGGGAAACGCATCCCAAACACCCTGGCATTGTTTCTCAGTTCTACCAAAAGACTGAATTAGCGTCTTCACCAAACAGGACTGTGTCATCTGCATGTTCTAAGTTGATAAGTGGACCTCCTGGTAGGAGATCAATACCCGAAAATTCAGTCGACAAGAACATTATTTCCAGCAGTGAGTCTATGATTAAATTGAACAAAAATGGAGATAGTGAACAGCCTTGGGTTTTCCTGACTAAAGAATAACTTCTAGAGCTAACTACCAGATTTATCATCTGAGCCTGAAACTGACTCATTAAAATAAACTAGACATCCAAAGAAGCACACTAAGAAAAGAAACAGGGTTTGTGTTTTCCCCTCAAAGGACAAATCGAAATTGCAATTTGACACCCACTAATTAACTATGACAGTATGTTCAAACTGTCAACGTAATAATACGAGAACTATGTTGATAAACAACTTCTCGACATCTAAGTGGTTATGAAAAGAGTACCGACTTGGGTGATGAACAAGAACGAGTACCACTCAATCTCCTAAGTTTGGGGAAATTTTGGGGATACTTCAGAAGTCAAATGGCATTCACCAAGGTTAAGGGGAATTTTAGGGAAATATTCGGATTGTGGTGTCACCACCAGCACTTATGCAGCTACCTACATACACGAACGTCTCGACCATATCTAACTGCTCACCATCCAGGATTAAAATCCTGCGAGTCTTGTAGAAATACCAATCGAACTGCCATTCTAAGAATTCTGCCCATCGTACAAGACGTCGGTGGATGTTAGTGATTGGCATCCCGTCATCCTCGCAGATTGTTTCGCTCACACCAGACTTCTTGCTGCCAGTGGCTCGGATGAGTTGAAAGAGCTTCCGGTAGTTACCAGATGCAGCTGCTGCTTTCAGCTCATTAGCACGCTCCGACCACCAGGCTTCTCGGTCTTTACGCAAGCTTTGCCCGATTTCATTACGTAACAGCCTTCGTTTGTGGTCAGACTCACGATTACCCGGAGTAGACCGACGGGCTTCGATGAGTTGCAAGGACCTGAAGAAGCCCAGTGCTTATAAGCGGGACGTCTCGCGAAGCCGCAAGCGGCTCTACTCGCCATTCTCATGGCGTCATGCAGTTGCAACCAATGCTCATCTATACTTTTCGGTGGAATGGTAGCTAGCCTAGAAGCTAGCTCGATTCGATACTTACTTGCAACAGAAGTCGAAACCAACTTGCTGACATCAATCCTTTGGTGGTGGTCACTTCGTTGTCCACTGAAAAGTAAGGTAAGATTGGCGCAGAACAGAGCATGACCAGAGTCCAGATAGGTACTCCAAAAGGAGCGGTAGTCTTGTACACAACCACGCCAGCGGTAGCTGATCGCGATGTGGTCAATCTGAGTCCAGGCTTGAGATGCAGAGGGAGGACGCCAGGTGGCACATCGGCGATGACTGTGCCGGAAGTTAGTGCTAGCCAGAAACAGGTTGTGGTCTGTGCACAGTTGCAGTAGACGGTCCTCGTTATCTGTCCTGTGACCAACAAGTCCCCGTCGGCCACCTAAACGACTCTTTTGTGTCTAGACACCCGACCTGAACATCCAAGTCTCCGGCTAGTACTACAATATCTGTCGAACGCACTTTCTGGAGAACAGTTAACTGGTGGTAGAATTCATCCTTGATTGCATACGGGCTGCAATCTGTCGGGGCATAGGCGGAGATGACGAAAAGACATCGTTTCTCACACCGATTTCTTCTCACTTTGATGGAAATTTCTAATCTAACAGCACATAACCGACTGTTAATGGGGATCCAATAGATTAGTGCTGCCTCAGCTCTAGTGTTTAGTGCGACACCAACGCCAGCAAGACCAGACGAAGATTCCATAGGGTCCCTGGATAAACGCATGTAAAACAACCCTTTTGAAGCGACGAATGGAGAGCGAATTTGTAGTACTTCACCGGAGTCTTGAATACGGGTCTCGGATAGACAACAAACGTCGATATTAAGACTTCCCAAAGACATAGCCAGCCCTATCTGTTGTCCGACCTGTATTAGTGTGCGAACGTTGAAGGCAGCCAGTTTGGATGGTGCACGTGGTTTCAGAAAAACTGCTTTAGTATTCGTATTTGCTGGTAGCATACAATTTTCAAGTAGGCCGTGACTCGAAGACGTATAGATAGAACCGAGTTTTTACCATAGGCGGGGTGCTGTATAAGTCGAAAAATAAGGATACGCAAAGTGGGAATAGAAGAAAGTGAATAAGTGATGTAGTAAATAATGATAGTCATAATAATAATAATAATATGAATCTTTTTTGATTGATATCATGAACCGATTAATGTTAGACTATCACAATTGAAAACCTGGAAGCACTGGACGGCCGTTTCGTCCTATTGTGGGACTCCTCGGCAGTGCGCATCCACGATCCCGCGAGCGGGATTCGAACCACGGGACCTTCGGTCTCGCGCGCGAACGCTTAACCAACTGGACCACTGAGCCGGCATCCAATGGTGACAGTTTCTAACATCAACCAATCCACGAAATTGCGCGACCAACTTCCGTTGTACTGAGGTAGATACCTGTCTCTACCCGACAAGGATTAGCTCCACTGGTCACGGCTTCTCACTAGAACTCCGAGAATTCCCTCACGAAGCTAGTCACTAGTGAGCACATGTTGATTACTAGTATAGGGGTTGTGGAGATGATCTCAATCAAAAACTTAATAATCTCCACAACCCCTATACTAATAATATGAATCATTTGACTGTTGATCGAAGCAAGAATAGTATTTTCCGTAAGTATCGCAGGACCGGCGACCATACAACGTTGAAAGCACCTGTTCTCGTCCGATCACTGCAGTTAATCAACTACCATGACTACTTTTTTGGATCCAATGTAGCTGATATTTGGTTCTTTTTTTCACTCCGTTACCAATTGTTATAACTTGTGCCCTAATAATATATAACGTAATGATACCGACAATTAGTGAACAGTGATTCATCGACCAGACCCATGACGCATAAAACCCGTACGAGCAATCTAGAGTCTTTATTGTTTTCATTTTGCGACTATTCTTACTGACTAAATAAGACTCGATTGTCAAGACACTTAAGTGGTCCTAAAGTAGCGTTTAGGTTCATTAAGACTGAAATAGACTTTCTACGTTTATCATTCAATGGAGTTTGTCACATTAATTTAAGGAGCTCATAAAGTCAGAAACACTAGTCAGATATTTTGCTCTATCATTACGAAGTGTACAGGTTTTGTCCTCATAGGTGAGAGATATAGTATAGTCCAAAACGTGTAGTCTCCAATTTTTAGAAGAAGCTTCGTTACAACTGTAATAGTACTCAACTTTAAAGGGTAAGATTAAAGAATCCAAACTTTCTAGGATATGAAAGGTTTGATAACATTACTAGCTACTGTTAAAGCATATGTGTGTAACTAGGATTATATTTTCAACGTTTTGAAAGTGTAGCTGGTTAGTTAACGAGACAATGAAGAGCGGGAAATATTTAATCTGCAAAGAAGTAAGAAATTTACCCTCATAATAAAAATGATATGTCCGTGATAATGCAACGGGCAGAAAAATGAATTTTTGTAAATTGGGGAACCGATCTCTATATGAGTTCTGGTAACTACTTCCAAATACAGAAAATAAACTGAATGAGACGACATGGAAGAGCCACGATCTAGATTATGATCAAAAGGGAATTTCAATTTTTTCATGCCATACAATATACTGATTATTATTTTGAATATCATAAATCAGGAATAATTGTCTCTATAACGGCAGAAACCGAAAAAAGTTTGCACATGTTATATGTACAGTGAGAAAAACTTGACTGTGATTATTATACACAAACCTAATTCCTATAAATAAATACATAGATTGGAGTTCAATAAATAAACCAGAGTAATTGCATCTCAAAAGTCATCATTCGACCATACAATAGTCATGTTAATGAATTAATATCCTGCAAACATTAAAAACCATACACTTCGCATAAGTATTTAAATGCAGCATCTTATGTAATTTAAGTTATGGAACGTGATCCCCCCAAAATGCCAACTATAGTTGTTTAGATTTTTCGAAAACTAAACGACTAAATTTTGATTAATTGGCACTGCCAAGTTCGTAGTTAGAGTATTTTACTAGGATATATAGAGAAATTAAGATACCAAGACGGAACCAGGAGATGCGGGGTTCGAACCTAGTGCTCATAAGCCAAGTAATTTAACCTTTAAAGTACTGTTCTTTCAATTAGCCTGGTAGGATCAGTTAAGCACGAAGTCTATACATCGTAAAATGAATTTGTGTGTATTAAAGCACAACACAACACATTTCACGATCTATCCTTTTAAAATTGATGTTGAACGGATACAATATGTTCAATGTGTTTAAGCGTTAGGTTACCAAATACTTATATATATATATATATATATATATATATATATATATATATATATATATATATATATATAACATAAGCACAAACATTCCAATGTCTCGTTTGAAAAGCGAGATAAATTTTTACAAAAATAGCCACTTACATCATTAACAGATTTCAAGTCAACCTTATCCAGATCTGCAACTACTTCAATCGGTTTTATAAATTGATCAACTGATGATGAAAGCAAATTAGTAGAAATATCCACAAGAGAATGTAATGGGTTTTCGTACTTGAACATTAGATCAGCCTTTAGAGTTTGCCTAAATGCAAGCAAAATATATGATAATAACGAATCATAAATGAAATACAAATACATAGTCCGAACACATACACGAAATCATAATCCTGATATTAAGCAGTGAAAATTTATCTATTTATTTGAACACATAGATATTGGTACAAGAGGGCACCAGATACATATGCGCCATACAAATCTCATTTGATTTGTGTGAGGGCTGTGATGTTGCTCGGGTGCTCAAACCGAAGCAGGTATTTTACTACTAAGATATAAGTAGTAAAATACCGATATCTTAGTGTAAAATTGCATAAATTTGACTACTTTAACTGAATAACAATGAAATGAGTTTTCAACATGAGTCCAATCAATGAAATCTGAATCCTTAAATTAAAATAAGTAAACGTCAACTGCGCAACACTTATTCACTGAAAATGAATTCACTATATGCTTAATATTTCCAAATTGAACGTACGAAACAGAAATGTAGATGTCATCTACGATTATAGATCAGTAATATAAATGCACTAATTAAGCACTTCATCACTATTTATTCACTGATATCAAAAGCAATACCATTGAGTGTAATTATCAAGATTTTTCAGTATGTGAATTCTCTCCCTTGCATCACATAGAAAGCACTAAAATTTCCGTAACAAGTAAGATAAGTAGTTGAGCTTTTTTTAATTTAATTCATATCTAAGACAATATCACAGTTATTTCGTGCCTAAGATGGATATTTGTCGTATTATTAATATCATAATGCAGTAGTAATAGGACAGCCTTACTTTGCTTGTTTGAGATTTTCCTCAGTAAAACTTGAAGACCGTAAAACCGAAATGATACGCTTTATTCTAGATCCCACTGCTTTAGGACAAGCTCCAGCTACAGCGATACCAAAAAGACTATGATCGATATACAGTTTTCGGAAAGCTGCAACTTCGGTTTCAATGTCTCCTTCTGCAGCGGTACGAGCTAGCAGAGATTTCGAAGCGTTTCCGCCATGCTCTATACGACTGGATGACCCATTCAATGCGCAGACAATGAGACCACTAATTGTACAGGACCCACGCATAGGCCATGCTAAGTAAGCATACACTGTAGGCGCGGCATTCAAATCTCGTCTTATTTCGCCTGAAATGAAAGTCAGGATAAAATTAAACTAGTGTTAACTTTGAAGCAATCAAGTTAATTACTACAGCAGGAAAAATAGTAAAAAAAATATACGACGCCAGGTATATCTAAGACAATGGTGATTATACTACTACTACTACTATAAGTAAGAAAGCAAAAATTGAAATTCAGTGATTTCTTATTATTTATTGGACATTTGTTACTAATAACTATACCTTTGAAGATTTGTAAATATACAATGCAAAATATTGTGTAACTAATAGCTTTTTATGTGCAGTCCTATGACTACTGGTACATAGTTTTATTCTGAAATGAAGACAATCAGTAGTCTGCTGTTGTCATTATGATGTGATGGAATAAAAAGGCGAAATTGCATGCCTTAGCTCATTGTGATTTTTGTCCAATAATACTTTCGTTCGCAATTCAATATGATGAGTACTAAGAGTAATATTTCTTTTGTTTTTCAGTGTGATATTTTATTCGGTATAACAATTTATTTGAGTGTTATGTTTTCCCAAGATACAATATTCTTGTATTAAATAAACATGGACTAGCTTCAGCATGACATGCAGCAAATGATTCGTCATAGCTCTGGATATTTTTCACATTTATGCTTTCATCCTAATTAATAATCAAAATGGGTGTACAATCAATATATAAAAGAGTGTATTTCCGAGTAGTATTTTCGGGTTAATAAATCTTCACTTGTGCCAGTTTTGGTGTGCTTAAGTCGTATCGTAGAAATCGCGGTGATTTTGATGGAGTTTTGTTCTCTGAGCTGGATGATTTGGTTGTGGAACTTACATCATTATTCTGAACGACATCATCAGCACAAACTTCACTTCTACCTGAAGTTTGTGCTGATGATATCGTGATTTTATGTACTTTCAACTATTTGGCAACCTGTCTCTTTCTTCTGGCATTGTAAGATCAACCTTAAATATTTAAACAATATGTTTTATCAGAATGGGGTTTTGTGGAGATTTCAGTAATTTCAACAGTTGAAGCTAAACCACCATGGAAAACCTGAAAGCACTGGACCGCCGTTTCATCCTATTGTGGGACTCCTCAGCAGTGCACATCCAAGATTTGGGATCCGAATCCAGGACCTACTGGTCTCGCACGTGAGCACTTAACCAATAGACCACTGAGCCGGCATCCAACGGTGTCAATGTCTAACTTCAACTAATCCACGCAATTGGGCGACACATCCACCATTGTCATCAGTGAGTTACTATCTTACAACTGACCCGGTTGTTTTTATTAAGAGATGAAGAGAAAATAAATGGAGTTTTGAGCACCATAGGAGAAAATCTGATGATCTTCGTCATGCACTATATTCCTGCCAAATGTGAAGTGATAACCCAAGAACAATCTGAAGCGAAATTGAATCTAGGAATAAAGGAAATCGATGGTATTGATCACTGGTAGGCTGATCATTAGTAAAAATCTGAGACACGCAAAAAGCTAATTTATCATTTGACAGTTCTTGTAAACTCTATAATCTTTTATATTAATGATAGGCGAATACCTCTAAATGATGAATGAATGAGGTTGTGAATCTGTGTAGTCTAATGTGGATGAGATATGCACTGGACCGCTCACAAAAATCAGAACTTTCTGGTCCACCTCAATGAGGTAATTAAGTAAATAATTAGGGTTTTAAGGTTATGGGGTTAAAATCAGTAAAAGGGGTGTAAGAATATATCTTCATCTTACCAAAATTATGAAAACCTTATTGATCACTGTTTAAATGATTTCCCAGTTATATATTCATATAGCTCATTCTTATCTCTTTTTATCTTGTCGAACTGTGGTAATGAGATCTGATGGACTTTATAAAGTTAAAACCTGTGTTCACCTGATTATGATATCAGAAATAATTACTTGGTAATCACACTGTGCACTGCCGTGTGATCATGCTGAACAAAGCAATCTAATAGCTATTATATAATTTGTCAAACACGAGTTTATTTTGGAAAAATTTGAAATTTTGGTGTCAAGCTCTTATGGACCATACCAACCTAGATAATTTTTTGAAACTCAATACTTAAGAACGAGTAGGTGAACAAGACATACTACTTCACAACAATAAATCAAGGATAGATTAACCGAGTAATCCTTTGGAGGTCTTCAAGTGAAATTAAAAGCACATCTTTAAATGTAACAGGCTGCTATTCGATCCCAGCAACGGAAATACTTAATGTAATACCTTGTCACTCAAACCCAAATAAATAGACCTCACCTCCAACAAACCCATAACCGCCTGAACCAATTTCCTGATGTGCAGGATTGAGATGAATGCTACTTTTCACTTTTTTTAATATATCCATTCCATTTATGTCGGAATGGGGATGAACAATGCCTAAAACGCACTTCTCTCCAACAAAGCCGCGTGAATGATATTCATTTATTTGATCAATCGAGTGAGATCCGATACGATCAGCTGGTGAAATCAGTGAATATCCTAAACCACATCCTGAGTCACTGGTACCAAAAGCTGCTTCATGCAGCAACTCCATACCCACTTGACAGATGAGAAGATAAAGATGAAAAATGAGATGAAATAAAAATTTCATGTAAAAGATTTCAAAGTAAAAAAGTTAGTTTGATAAGTTATAGCAATACAATGAGAAGTGCATATTTATTAATACCACGTGATACGTTAGAGTAATATGCTTTGAACACTTCGGAAACGTACTACCACCCACCAAGTTCATCTCATAATTCCTAAACAAATCGGCATACACGGATTAGCTGGCCTCTCGAGTGATAACAAACAGCAAACAGATCTAGCTACGTAACCAACAATCAATTCACTGGAAAGTGTAGATGAGAACTATCTGTATTTGGATTACAGTATGAAAATGATGTCACCTTTGACCTTTGGAAATATCCCGCTAATAAGCAACGGGTTGTTAAAGCTTAATTAACTTGAGCCACGACAGACTCCCCTGTCTTTAAAACGGGCTTACGTCACCTATGCAACAACTATCGGGAAATAAGTCTACTTACGACTGCATCCAAACTATTGGCTAACGTCGTACTTTCTAGATTGTTCAGACCCGTTAAAGATTGACTTGCGAAGAGCAGGCAGGTTTTCCTTCTGATCGAAGATGTATTAATCATATCACAATCCTAGGTCAAATGTTAAAACACCGCCATGCTGACTTACACGCCAACAATTGTTGCTCCTTGATATCAGGGTGATGTATTCATACGCTGTGCTAGAGGTTCGCTACTCCGACTTCAACACTGCGAACGAAACTACTTTATTCTTTTCCCTTTCCTCCCCACTAACTAGAGTACAAAAATTAGTCTTGTAGATGAAGGTTTTCGTGTTAAACCATTATACTCAATCAAAATCCACTAAGTTTATCGATCGTATATCAATAAAAGATAATTAGAATATATAAACTGAGTAGGTAATGCTGTATATATGTTATCTGGAGAACGACATTTTGACCTTGAGTATGAAAACAATAGTCTTACTGTGCGATGATACTCAAACTATACAATCTGAATAATAAATATATAACTATCTACCCAATGCTCACTTCATTTGAAACTGTTAAGTCCAACCTTGGCGTTGATACCCATATACAATTCGAGATTAATCAGCTGGGAAGCAATGTCCGTAGATATGGAATTTTCTTTGCACCCTCTAAGTGCAAAGCACTTTTACAAGGCTGACAGGAGCCTGTGTCTGTACTCACTATTTGCAGTAATCCGTTGGCAGTAGTTGAAAAGTTCGTGTATTTTAGTAGCTGTGTAAGTGCTACTGATGGGGTGACTGATGACACCAATTTACGTTTAGTGAATGCTAAAGCAACCCATACTAATCTGAGTCACCTTGGGAGCCGTTTTGATGTTAGTTTGGCTGTAAAATATCAGAATTTACAACACATCGATTAGAGTAGCTTTGCTCCATGCTTGTGAAGCTCGATCTATCCAGTTTGAGGGTGCTCGGTGACTCTCTATGTTTGATCGTCGTTGTCTCTAAACGGTTGCGGACATTTAATGACAACAAAATGTTAGTGAGGCGGAGGCTTGGTGACGTGTGTTCCGTCACAGTGACTTTAATTCAACTGGCGTTACAATCTCAAAACACCGGCTTCTACATCGTTCAGTAATTGCTGACTTCGGAACTGGGTGAAAAAAGCGGACGGGTGGTCGGTTCATGACATGGCGCCGCGGCATGAAAGCTTTATAGGATTAGCATGTCTGTCCATCACGGCCCCTTGATTAGGGTTCCAGTTATGGTGCAATTCATTGGTTTAAGGCGTTATTAGACGTAATTCACAAAGAAAATGAGACAAGCTGACTTAACGGGAAGAATTATATCTTGGTTGAACTTTTAACTGAACTGTATCTTTTGCTCTTGTGTCCCGATAAGAATAATGAGTGGTAAATTTTTGGGATCTATTTATGGACCAATACTGTGCGTATATTTTTATCGTATAATTGTCAATTAATTAAATTATTCATATTCATGTCTCTCTTATCATAAGCTTTATTTTAACCTATGAATGGTTATTATACGATTTTCCATTCTTGAATTATTCCCTGCCTATTAATCACTACCTCTCACGTTCACAGCAAAATTTGGCCGAATTCTGTACAAATGTTATTTTCTATTTTATCGTATGATGTGATCTGCTTGATTGGTATATAAACAGAGTATGTTTGAAATACATGATTCATATTACAGAGGCTGAGACTGGTGTTCTGGACTTAACTGGCTGGGCTAGGCGGGAAGCGAGACCAATCAGGACTCCAGGCTGCTCTCACGTGTTTTAAGCGTCCTTGGTTCGATCGATAATTCGCTGCTTCTGATTGGCGGCTTTGGGCTATAACACTTGCCACACTCTATTCTTGTTCATTTATTTTCCATTCAACGCACTCTTCCTCCTTTATTTCTTCAAAACTTAACAATCTTGTTTTTGTGGCGAATTTCGATGCACTATTATCAGTCAGTCAGCTACAACATAGGACCAGTAACATACATGCATCGGTCCATGTTGCCATACCGCATTAGCACAGCAAGATGAACACTGGATTCATAGACGTAGTTACTTCAATGGGGTAATATATAGAAGATTGCATATAAAAGTATAGTACAGGAAGAAAGAATTAGTCCGTAGAAAGAAAGATGTGAAGTGATTTTAATCTCTTAGTTTAAGGGAAGACACCTACGCCATTGTGATCGATTCTGAGCCGTCACCAAGAGTCTCTAACCATTGGTTACGATAGTCACGTAGACTCCAACCAAGAAGTCTGCATCTACCAACATGACTCAGACTAGAAGTTAGTGTCTTCAAGCACTGATGCCACGTTTTGGTTTGGCCACCCCTAACTTTCTTCCAGCCATCTCCAACATTAGCCGGCATTGAGCGTTGTGGTAATCGGTGTTCAGGCATACGCACACGTGGCCCAACCATCTCAGTCGATGAAGATTCACAACCTCATCAACTGATTTACCAGCATTCCCTAATACCCTGCGTCTAACCTCACTATTACTTATCCGGTGATCTCAGCAGATACCAGTGATATTTCTAATGCATCTGTGGTTAAACACTAGTAGCTTACGAGTACCTTGAACTCTTAATGTCCATGTTTCGCTGCCGTAAAGTAAAACAGAATGAACTGCCGCGCAGTATACTCGTCCTTTTGTTGCACTATTATACCATTAATTAATGTGCTTCAAAAAGATATAAAAAAACAAGGTGAATTTTGTGTGACACAATGTAATATATCATATTTTCTAATGAAAACCTTAGGTAATAAAATGTAATAGCATTTTTATGTATAGAATGTCATTTGACAAACAAGTCAACTTACATTCGTTTAAATTGCGCCGGTTGAGAATATCAACATCTTTGTTCATTAGCTTGTAGACAATATCTTTCAGTTCCCATGCATAATAACATGGAGATGAAGCCATAGAGCATAAAAGGAAACCAGCGCGGGAAGCAAAGTTTGGTGCGACATCTACTGTGTAGATCATATGTTCACGGGTTGTGGCGCACCTGCAGGGGAAAGCAGAATTATTATCAATCAAAAGAGCATAATACTGGATAGACTTATGATTGTGAACATCCAATTGCTTGGAATCTAATACTTGTTGAAGCGAGTCGTTTTAGAGTCAAAACAACATTTATTTATCGTTCACATCTTTAGAAACGGCCTGATATCATCTATGCAACAACTATAGGTCGAAAATACACTTTCGGTTGATAGATGCTAACATTTTGGACGCATATCTGGTTGGTGGATATGGAGAATTGATCTATGAAATGGGAAATTCTGGTTCTAAAACAATGTAGTATATAGGTTCAAGAAACCTGAGGATCCGAATGGAGTATAAACCTGATCCGGGTCATCGGCCACCATGGAACCACAACTCCTGACTTTACCACCTTGTGGGTTAGACCTTTAGGTCAGAGGCCAGTGAAGTGGTACTCAAAGAAAACCACCTGCTTCTGACTAGCTTCCTTTAAAGTATCCTAGCCCACACATAACTAGTTGAAATCAAGGGTCAATTGAAGCTAGATCACCATGGAAAACCCGGAAGCACTAGATCGCCGTTTCATCTTATTGTGGGACTCCTCAGCAGTGCTCATCCACGATCCCGCTTCGCGAGATTCAAACCCAGGACCTATCGGTCTCGCGCACGAACACTTAACCTCTAGACCAAAAGTCATTTAAATGGACAATGAAGATTAGTTGGTCACAAGTCAGATAACGTAAATCGTTTCAAACAGCGTTCCGTTGATTCACAACTAGTTTCCGGTCAGTACGATATTTATCTGAGCTCTGATCATGCCTTCGTTAGCACTGATTCTATCTTACGTTTCAGTGGCTGATAAATTCACCATCCTCAACAGATTGACTTAAGCAAATTAGTTGCAGCTTCCATTGCAACCACACATCAAACCGAGCTAGATTCAAAGCTATCTGTATGACGCGATCGAAATGGAGAGTAAAGTCACAATCGGTTTCGAGAAAAGTCCTACTTGAAAGCAACTGGTTAACAAATGCTCCTCACAACTTGTTAGAGTAAGTTGGTCTATCCCAGCTAACTGCGAACTAGATGGTGAACATAGATTTCATAGTGATATTGTACAGAAATTGCGTAAGAACTAAGAGGTACGGTATACAGAGTTGCTGCTTTTGGTAAATACTAGAAGCTTTATCAACTCCTCCTGGTCAATGGAAATGGGGAAGTCTGGTGTAAGTGGAACAATATATGAAGCTTATCGGGCGTAAATCGAAAAGATCCAGAGGAGTATTTCACGATGATCGGAGTTCACTGACATATAATATATTTTGTCTGATGGCCCAACGGTGATGATTATATAGCCCTACCATCTGTGGCATTGACAAATAAACCACCTACCGAGATTAAAGTAAGCAACGAACTCAAAGATTGAAGGTACCGAAATATCATAGCCCAGACGACTTACATTCCAAATGCCCTGGATGAGGAGAGCCAGATTTCACTCCCAAAATACTCTCATATAACCATGCGTATACAGCCACTGCCACGGAAGTCATAATCACTGCCTTCTCGCGGCATTACTGTTGTTTACGAAATTGAGAAGACAAGAAGCCAATGACCGGCGCCTTAATCGGGTTGGTGGACACAGAGGGTCCACCTACGGCAGTTGGAAAACCCTGATTACAAACCAGTGGTACACATGGGCTCCTGTGTTCTGAGGGAACAAACGGCGTATGAACCTATTGTTGGTCACCGGTTACCATGTGACTGCACCTTCTGACGTTGCTCCACTGCCTTGTGGACCAGACCTTTAGGTCGAAGGCTCCGGGTGCGGTCCCAGTGTAAAGTGTGACCGACAAACGAACTCACTAAGGATAAAGTGAAACACCCACCACCACATTAACTTTCTTTGACCTTGTATGACTATGTCTTGTTTATTCATCAATCACAATTTTATGTTTATTATTAAACAATATTTGCCTTGTTGAATCATTTTTCCTATCCTCTAGTTACTGTTCGGTATGTTATTTGTCTCTGTTTTTCCCTGTGTTAATAGACTGTACTGTTTGTTTTGTACACTAACGGTGTAAATTTATGTTTTAGAAACAGATAAAGTTTATCAAGCCAAATAGATTACTTGTTCTGACTTTGGCTAAACCAAGACTCCGTGCTTAACGGTCTAGCTTAGAGTTACACCTGTAGGAAATTGCTTCCTACAAAGTTTCGAACAGTTATTTCGATATACTTACTGAAATGGCGTCCAATAAATACTACGATTCCGATGAGATTCCAGAGTTATCACCCATCATTTAGGAGTTTATGACGAGGATCAACTCGAAAAGGACGAACTCAAAAACAATAGCATGGTAGAACTAAAGTTAGCTAGGTTGCGCATAACCCATTTAGAAAAGGAATTTAAACTAGAAAAGTTACGCCGCCAGGGATGTGAAGGTTCCGGCCAATCAGTAAGCAACAGAGAGAATACAATATTAAAAAGTCTGTATTTACCAAAAAGAGAAGTCTTAAGATTTGATAGTACACCGACAAATTATTGGAATTTCATCAGAAACTTCGAATGCATCGGGAGTGAGAATATTGGATTTAGAGCTAAGCTAAATTACTTGATTCAATATTGTGACGGAGAAGCAAAAGCCGCTATCCATCATTATACTATACTAGAACCAGAGATAGGTTATCATCAAACCCTAAAGCTTTTAGAGGAAACCTTTGGCCAACAACATGTTATAGCACGCACGTTTATCGACAACATGTTAAACTTTCCCAATATACGACGGAATCAACCAGATGGTTTGAGAAGACTGTCTCGAGAAACGCAAGCATGTGATTTGACTATCGAACAGATGAATTACGTTTCTGATTTGAACTCTTCTAGAACTATTGAAACTATGGTTTTGAAATTACCAACGCACATTCAACAAGAGTGGCTAAAGGTAGCTTATAAGATTATCAGAGGAGGTCGAGAGTCTCTGTTTGCCGATGTTGTTGAGTTTTTAAAGGAACAAGCTGATATAGCTAATACTAGATATGGCCTACTTGTCAACCGCGGTAGTGATAGTGACAATAGAGATGTTGGTGTTTTAAAAGGGAAAATTAGTTCAGGTTACAATGCAGCAAGGATATCTTATGTGAGTACTAGTGATGACAGTGTTGCCTTATGTAGTTCATCCTGTTTGGAGTGCTCAAGTAATCATTCTTTAGATCAATGTCAAAAGTTTAAAGACAAGAATGTTAGAGAAGGGAAAGAATTCGTCCTTAGACACAAGTTATGTAATGTTTGTCTGAAAGCAAACCATGTAGCGAGAAATTGTCGATTACCGAGGTCGTGTGCTGTTGAAGGGTGTGGCTGCAGACACCATACCCTGTTACACGAGAAGCGGGAAGAACAAAGAAATACTAATAGTGATGTCTACATTATTACTCAGCTTTGTACGGAGGAAGGCGTTAAGTGTACACGGAGACCAGTAGCATTTGCAGTAGTGCCTGTATTGATAAAAAATGGTGAGATTATTCAGATTTGCGCCTTTCTAGATAGCGGGTCAGATACCTCTTTCATAGTTGATGATCTAGCTGATAAGTTAGGCCTCGGAGGGAAACCAAAAAAACGGTATTTTTAAAGACTCCTAGTAATGAATCGTCGTTGGTATCCAAAGAGGTCGATGTAGAGTTGCACTCGATAGATTTTTCGTCATCCGTTAAGGTCCAGAAAGTATTGACAGTCAAAAAATTACCGGCAGTTTACAGGACTGTGCCAACGGCGCACCAAATGGCATCCTGGTTCTGTTTAAAAGACATAAGTTTTCCGAGGGTAGAAGATGAGAATGTCAAACTAATGGTTGGGTGCAACGCACCGGCCCTACACGAGATGAAAGAGATAAGAACAGGAAAGACGGATGAACCGTCTGCTGTGAGGACTATATTGGGTTGGACGCTGTTCGGCCCTTACGAAGAACCCCGTGAAAGCAACCGTGTACTGATTTACCTCTCGGCTAAGGAGAAATTAGAGGATAAGTTTGAACAATTGTATTCAACTGAACTCAAAGACCCATTTAGTCGTACTTCATCGATGTCTGTGAAAGACCGTATAGCATTACCAGAATCGTACAAACCACTGGCTAGTCAGACTCATTGCTCTGCCGATGCCTCAGAATCTGCATATGGTGTTGCGGAGTATGCTCGTTCCGAAAATGTCTCTCATCAAGTTCATTGTTCCTTTTTATTAACTAAGTCCAAAGTTTTTAGGCCAAAAACTGAAGCACCATCTGCTAATAAACCCAAATCAACTCTAAGAAAGCCTATGGAAAAGAAGGACAGCAAACTGAAAGTCAAGACTACGAAAAGGCCAAAGGCCACTGTAACAAAGAAGCTATTAACTAAGACCCTGAAGAAGAAGAAGAAGGCAGAACATATTATCCGTGATATCGAGGATGGTGTTGAGAAAGGCGCACTTGTACGAGTTGTGAACAAGAGTAAGGGTGTATCTGGTAGCTTTACAAGAGCCAATGCTATTCTTAGACAGATCATGTGTAGTTGAAACCAGAATAAGATAGCGAATGCCCTTTTAGAGAGAGGTTGTGAATGGCGCTTTAACCTTCCTAGAGCTAGTCAACTAGGCAGTGTATGGGGACGCATCATAAAGTCAATAAAAAGAATTGTGCGATTACTATTGTTTCAGAAAGTATTGACGGATGAGTCTTTGGGGACGTTTTAAATAGAAGCTGAAAGAATACTGAACAATCGACCACGCGTAAGGCTAGTTAGTGACTGTGATAATGTATATGTACTTACACCAAATAAGTTATTGTTAGTTTACAGAGACGTACCATTCAACGAGGCGTAGATGAGTAAGACGTCCTTATATAACCTATTATGGAACGGTTTTGGCCTTTGGAAATATCCCGCTAATAAGCAACGGGTTGTTAAAGCTTAATTAACTTGAGCCACGACAGACTCCCCTGTCTTTAAAACGGGCTTACGTCACCTATGCAACAACTATCGGGAAATAAGTCTACTTACGACTGCATCCAAACTATTGGCTAACGTCGTACTTTCTAGATTGTTCAGACCCGTTAAAGATTGACTTGCGAAGAGCAGGCAGGTTTTCCTTCTGATCGAAGATGTATTAATCATATCACAATCCTAGGTCAAATGTTAAAACACCGCCATGCTGACTTACACGCCAACAATTGTTGCTCCTTGATATCAGGGTGATGTATTCATACGCTGTGCTAGAGGTTCGCTACTCCGACTTCAACACTGCGAACGAAACTACTTTATTCTTTTCCCTTTCCTCCCCACTAACTAGAGTACAAAAATTAGTCTTGTAGATGAAGGTTTTCGTGTTAAACCATTATACTCAATCAAAATCCACTAAGTTTATCGATCGTATATCAATAAAAGATAATTAGAATATATAAACTGAGTAGGTAATGTTGTATATATGTTATCTGGAGAACGACATTTTGACCTTGAGTATGAAAACAATAGTCTTACTGTGCGATGATACTCAAACTATACAATCTGAATAATAAATATATAACTATCTACCCAATGCTCACTTCATTTGAAACTGTTAAGTCCAACCTTGGCGTTGATACCCATATACAATTCGAGATTAATCAGCTGGGAAGCAATGTCCGTAGATATGGAATTTTCTTTGCACCCTCTAAGTGCAAAGCACTTTTACAAGGCTGACAGGAGCCTGTGTCTGTACAGATAAATTTACACAGCAATGCTTCCGAAATAAGTAATCGAATTTTGTTTGCTGTAAAAAAAATTTATTATCTTATTTGAATCAATCATTGTTATCAAGCTGTTATAGTCCCATAAAGCAACAGAAATTATTGAAAATCAAATAAAAACAATGGTCCTACAAAAGATGAAAACTTACTGTACGCGAGCACCCATTTGTTGAAAATGTCTTGTTAAATTAACACTAGTTAACTCAGGAGTGGACATTCCAAAGCTTCGACGTACTAGATGACTTATACCACGATTTTTTGATGATTCATATCGCGAACCAGATTTTACGACTAGTGCAATTCGTGTACACCCAAAGCCAAGTGACAGCTGTGGTAAACTGACAAGCTGAAAATGTTTACATAGGAAACCAAGACAAACAAGTTTAATATCGTTTCAACGATCTTTAGGATAAAGATCCAATGTTACTAGAAAACCTATAACATTTTCTTGTAGTTAAATAAGGTGTTATAATTTCAATCAGTAACGAGAACTGAAGAGACTAAAACATATGTTCATCGGTTCAGGTTTCGACACCATATATATTAAACAGCAACATCATACATAAACAATATTATTCAAAAACTAATTCACTGAATAAAAATTACGAGATAATTTTAAGATTCAGAACCCAAGTGACGATAAAGAGTGAATACATATGCACCATGGACCTGACCATATGCCAACTGAAGCACTGAAGTCAGACATAGGAGCAACTGCAAACATGCTCCACCTTCTATTCAAGAAGATTTGGAAGAAGGAATAAGTGATGACGAACTAGAAAGAAGGACACCTGATCAAGATATCAAAGAAAGATATCTGAGCAAATGTGAGAACTACAGAGGGGGAAACGCACAGGTACAATCGGAAGAATTTTTCAGTTAAGGAAGATACAACCATTTTTTATGAGGAAAGTAAAAGAAGGTTACAGCACGATCGCCACTGGCTTCTATTCTGAGCCATATCTGATAACGTCTCTAGCCACTGTGTCGCGCCATCTCTAGGACCCTAGCCAGGGAGTCGTGAAGGACCAACACAAGCCAGCCTCTTGCAGCTTTCTTTCATACCCCGACACCATGTCATGCACTGACCACCTCTCCGCTTTTTCCAACCAGTTCCAGCGTCCGCAAATAATGCACGACGTGGAATTCTCTGGGACGACATTCGTAGAACATGTCCAAGCCACCGAAGTCTGTGTTTCAAGATGGTGACACCAATTGCACTATCATCTCTGTGCCAGAACACACGATGCCGAACCTCTGCATTACTAACATGGTGTTGCCACTGGATGTCAGCAATCCTTCGGAGACAACGATGATCAAACACAGAGGGTCGTCTGACATCCTCAACTCCGAGAGGCCAGGTTTCACAAGCATAGAGCAAAACTGCTCTCACCGACGCGTTTGTAGATCCGACCTTTTACAGCCAGACTAACATCACGAAGGTGACAAAGATGGCACAGATTGGCATAAGCCGCTCTGGCTTTCACTATACGTGCACTGATCTCATCACTCACACCACCACCAGCACTTATGCAGCTCGCCAGATACACGAACTTCTCGACTACTTCTATCTGCTCACCAACCAGGGTGAGTACAGGATTAGAATCCTGCCAGTCTTGTAGAAGTACTTTGCACTAAGAAGATGCAAAGCACATAACATACCTACGGACACTGATTGCCAACTGACTAAGTGCGGATTGCATGGCTTGGGCCTTTAGGATGTTAATAAACTTCTCAGGCACAGACTTCTTCAATAGACAATCCCAGAGAACAGTCCTGTCCATCGAATCGAAGGCAGCCCTAATGTCAAGAAACACTACGATTGCTGACCTTTGATAAGTATGACGGTGTTCCAACATTTGGCGGAGGGTGAAGATATGATCAATACATCCTCGACCAGAACGAAAACCAGCCTGCTCCTCGCGAGTCAATCTTTCTCGGGTTTTGAACAACCTACGGAGTATGACGGAAGCCAATAGCTTGGACGCAGTCGGAAGTAGACTTATCCCCCGATCGTTGTTACAGGAACGACGTGAACCCTTTTTAAAGATAGGGACAACTATCGACTCATTCCGTGACATTGGTACACTCTCCAGCTCCCAAACCTTTGTAAACAACGTCGTCAATTCCTTAGTCAGAAAGTCACTACCATTTTTAAAAACGGCCGGAGATAAGTCATCTGAGCCCGGTGATTTGTAGCTTTTCAAGAGTTGGAGTTCCTTGTGGACTCCCGCATCATTTGGTGCATCAATCGTCACCGGCCATGGAGGGTCGGACAGTCTGACCGATGTTACCAGAGCAGCAGACCAGTCGGACTGCCCTTCTAAGAATTCTGCCCATCGTACAAGACGTCGGTGGATGTTAGTGATTGGCATCCCGTCATCCTCGCAGATTGTTTCGCTCACACCAGACTTCTTGCTGCCAGTGGCTCGGATGAGTTGAAAGAGCTTCCGGTAGTTACCAGATGCAGCTGCTGCTTTCAGCTCATTAGCACGCTCCGACCACCAGGCTTCTCGGTCTTTACGCAAGCTTTGCCCGATTTCATTACGTAACAGCCTTCGTTTGTGGTCAGACTCACGATTACCCGGAGTAGACCGACGGGCTTCGATGAGTTGCAAGGACCTGAAGAAGCCCAGTGCTTATAAGCGGGACGTCTCGCGAAGCCGCAAGCGGCTCTACTCGCCATTCTCATGGCGTCATGCAGTTGCAACCAATGCTCATCTATACTTTTCGGTGGAATGGTAGCTAGCCTAGAAGCTAGCTCGATTCGATACTTACTTGCAACAGAAGTCGAAACCAACTTGCTGACATCAATCCTTTGGTGGTGGTCACTTCGTTGTCCACTGAAAAGTAAGGTAAGATTGGCGCAGAACAGAGCATGACCAGAGTCCAGATAGGTACTCCAAAAGGAGCGGTAGTCTTGTACACAACCACGCCAGCGGTAGCTGATCGCGATGTGGTCAATCTGAGTCCAGGCTTGAGATGCAGAGGGAGGACGCCAGGTGGCACATCGGCGATGACTGTGCCGGAAGTTAGTGCTAGCCAGAAACAGGTTGTGGTCTGTGCACAGTTGCAGTAGACGGTCCTCGTTATCTGTCCTGTGACCAACAAGTCCCCGTCGGCCACCTAAACGACTCTTTTGTGTCTAGACACCCGACCTGAACATCCAAGTCTCCGGCTAGTACTACAATATCTGTCGAACGCACTTTCTGGAGAAGAACTGATAACTGGTGGTAAAACTCATCCTTGATTGCATCCGGGCTGCAATCTGTCGGGGCATAGGCGGAGATGACGAAAAGACATCGTTTCTCACACCGATTTCTTCTCACTTTGATGGAAATTTCTAATCTAACAGCACATAACCGACTGTTAATGGGGATCCAATAGATTAGTGCTGCCTCAGCTCTAGTGTTTAGTGCGACACCAACGCCAGCAAGACCAGACGAAGATTCCATAGGGTCCCTGGATAAACGCATGTAAAACAACCCTTTTGAAGCGACGAATGGAGAGCGAATTTGTAGTACTTCACCGGAGTCTTGAATACGGGTCTCGGATAGACAACAAACGTCGATATTAAGACTTCCCAAAGACATAGCCAGCCCTATCTGTTGTCCGACCTGTATTAGTGTGCGAACGTTGAAGGCAGCCAGTTTGGATGGTGCACGTGGTTTCAGAAAAACTGCTTTAGTATTCGTATTTGCTGGTAGCATACAATTTTCAAGTAGGCCGTGACTCGAAGACGTATAGATAGAACCGAGTTTTTACCATAGGCGGGGTGCTGTATAAGTCGAAAAATAAGGATACGCAAAGTGGGAATAGAAGAAAGTGAATAAGTGATGTAGTAAATAATGATAGTCATAATAATAATAATAATATGAATCTTTTTTGATTGATATCATGAACCGATTAATGTTAGACTATCACAATTGAAAACCTGGAAGCACTGGACGGCCGTTTCGTCCTATTGTGGGACTCCTCAGCAGTGCGCATCCACGATCCCGCGAGCGGGATTCGAACCACGGGACCTTCGGTCTCGCGCGCGAACGCTTAACCAACTGGACCACTGAGCCGGCATCCAATGGTGACAGTTTCTAACATCAACCAATCCACGAAATTGCGCGACCAACTTCCGTTGTACTGAGGTAGATACCTGTCTCTACCCGACAAGGATTAGCTCCACTGGTCACGGCTTCTCACTAGAACTCCGAGAATTCCCTCACGAAGCTAGTCACTAGTGAGCACATGTTGATTACTAGTATAGGGGTTGTGGAGATGATCTCAATCAAAAACTTAATAATCTCCACAACCCCTATACTAATAATATGAATCATTTGACTGTTGATCGAAGCAAGAATAGTATTTTCCGTAAGTATCGCAGGACCGGCGACCATACAACGTTGAAAGCACCTGTTCTCGTCCGATCACTGCAGTTAATCAACTACCATGACTACTTTTTTGGATCCAATGTAGCTGATATTTGGTTCTTTTTTTCACTCCGTTACCAATTGTTATAACTTGTGCCCTAATAATATATAACGTAATGATACCGACAATTAGTGAACGGTGATTCATCGCTAGCCACCATCCATCTCCTCTTGAAGTGGCAATATCCAGGTAATCCGTACGGAATGCACAAGTCAAGAGAGAGTGGTCAACTGCAGTCATGAACATCAGTGTATTAGCACATGAGGTTTTACAAAATACTACAAATCCTAAAATAAGACAAGTATTTGTAGTTGTCATTTTTATTTTCGAGACAAATTTTCCATTGCTAAAACCTACATCCACGAGTTCCAACATATTCATATAATTAAAAACAAACGTTCAACCGTCTAAACAATCCCTAGTGTTTTAAATATTTATCTCTTTTTTAAATCAATCTGCATTGATTGCTATGTCGTTATGATATAAAATATGCACACCGATTCTCATAAAAAATAGTACTATCATTTCGAAATTCTTTATTAAAGGTGAGTGTGAAAGGTGAACTTCAATATACACGGAAATCTAGCAACGTAATATCAACAATTGTAAATATAAATGATAGAATCTATATTTAAATGTGTGCTATTTCGCGTAAATATTCTAGTGACAATCTGTTCTCATAATTCCCAATAACCAAATTACTGAGTGATACTAAATCCATGTACTTTCATTTTACGCAGCGTTGCGAGATTCCTGCAACTAACATTTTGGATACAATTCACGTAAAACCTGTTCTTTTTATAAAGTGTCAATGAATTTCTATGATTCTGGATGAATGGGCCACCAAGTCGATTAAGACCACTACCGATTCCCCAACACATTATTCGGTTTAGGGCCATTTTATCCAACGTCTGTAGTCATTGGTTACAATAATCTCGCGGAGAGTTTGTACCCTACTAACACAACTCAGTCCAACCACCAATGGCACATCTTGGATACCCAACACATTATTCGGTTTACGGAGGTCTTCCACAACAAAACTGCGAGTGTCCCACCGTACTATGGAAATTTGTAACGCTGTGGCGTACACATTTCAAAGGTCACCCATTCTTTGATAATCTTGTATCACTCTTCTAGTTCAACGTACACTAATAAATGTGGAATTTACCTACAAATACGATTAAAAGGCTTAACAAAATGATATTATTCACATTAAAATTTTATTCGATGGAGCGTCATTAAAATAACTTGCTAATATTTCAATTTCTTGTTTATTTTCTATCTACAATCGTAGATCAAGAATGGGGAAAGCCCGATTTCACTCTCAAAATACTCTCATATAACCATGCGTATACAGCCACTGCCACGGAAGTCATAATCACTGCCTTCTCGCGGCATTACTGTTGTTTACGAAATTGAGAAGACAAGAAGCCAATGACCGGCGCCTTAATCGGGTTGGTGGACACAGAGGGTCCACCTACGGCAGTTGGAAAACCCTGATTACAAACCAGTGGTACACATGGGCTCCTGTGTTCTGAGGGAACAAACGGCGTATGAACCTATTGTTGGTCACCGGTTACCATGTGACTGCACCTTCTGACGTTGCTCCACTGCCTTGTGGACCAGACCTTTAGGTCGAAGGCTCCGGGTGCGGCCCCATAAGTAGGCCACCTGCTTCGGTCTGAGCATCCCAGTAGTATCCTAGCCCGCACACATATCAGGTGAATTGTGTGGCACATATGTATTCAGTGGCCCTTTGTACCGGTATTTATGTGTCCAAATAAATTAATATAATATCTACAATCGTAGCCCTATCAAAATGCCAAATCCAGCAACGATATCCACGACCGACATAACGTTAATTATTATTATTATTATTATTATTATTATTATTATAATTAGTAGTAGTAGTAGTAGTAGTAGTAGTAGTAGTAGTAGTAGTAGTAGTAGTAGTAGTAGTAGTAGTAGTAGTAGTAGTAGTAGTAGTAGTAGTAGTAGTAGCAATGGCTTTATTCAATATTATGTTTTGGTACAGTATAGAATTCTCAGCATAAGGTATTTCAACAAGTTTCTTTTGCAGAAGACAAAAACAAAAAAGATAAACAAAAAAATCCGAAAAAGAACTGTACAAATTTCCGAATTAAAGACATGTTTAAGAACACAGGTTATTGACTAGGTTAACTCTAACAACTTGTTCGTCACAGAGTATATTTGCTAGGTAAGGTATTATACCAGTGTAGTAGCAGTAGGACTCAATATACACAAAGGGAAAAGCAAAATTGTCCGATACAACACAGAATGCACCAATCCAGTCACAATTGACGGAGAAGATTTGGAAGATGTAAAAACCTTTACGTATCTGGGCAGCATCATTGATGAACATGGTGGATCTGATGCAGATGTGAAAGCGCGGATCGGTAAAGCAAGAGCAGCGTATTCACAACTGAAGGACATCTGGAACTCAAAACAACTGTCAACCAACATCAAGGTCAGAATTCTCAATACAAATGTCAAGACAGTTCTACTGTATGGGGCAGAAACCTGGAGAACTACGAAAGCCATCATCCAGAAGATACATGTGTTTATTAAAAGTTGTCTACACAAAATACTTCGGATCCGTTGGCCGGACACTATTAACAACAACCAACTGTGGGAGAGAACAAACCAGATTCCAGCGGAGGAAGAAATCAGGAAGAAGTGCTGAAAGTGGATAGGACACACACTGAGGAAAGTACCCGACTGCGTCACAAGACAAGCCCTCACATGGAATCCTCAAAACCAGAGGAAAGGAGGAAGACCAAAGAACACATGTAATGTAATTTCGTCTCCTTCTACAAGAAGATATACGAAGAGAAAGATATGAGTGAAGGGAATAGTTAGTATCTGATAAAATAACACCTGCCAGGAGTTTGCATGACATTAGATGTCGCTCCACAACCATATTAATTATGACCTCGAAAGATTCACCACAAACCTAGCTGACTGCCTTCAGCACTCTTCGCAATAAAGCAGTCTTTTCTCAAAAGTCCAGGAAAGAATAGTGGAGAACCGTAAAGAATAATAGGTAATATGCAAGAATTGACAAAATGCAAGAGTAAATGACGTGTAACCCTAAGAGCATGCAATCTCTTTACGTCAGACGGAAAACCTTCTTCGACAACAATAAAACGTGAGAAGACCGAGAGAGATCAAAGGAAAAAGGTAACACCAAGATAATTAACCTTCGACACTGTGTTTATTAATGCTGAAAACTGATGGACCTACAAAATAAAGTCTCTATATAACATTGCTGAAGATTCGATGACTGTTGTTGTCTCCGTCATTATCTTATAGGAGACAATCCGTCCGTCAGTCAGCTACAAAATAGGACCAGTAACATATATGCATCGGTCCAAGTCGCCACACCTCATTAACACAACAAGATGAACAACAAATTCATAGAAGTAATTACTTCAATGGTAGTAATATATAAAAGAAAGATTGCGTATAAGGATACTATACAGGAAGAAAGAATTAGTTCGTAAAAAGAAAGATCATTTTAATCTCACGGTTTAAGAGAAGACAACTACGCCTTTGTGATTGATTCTGAGCAATGTCACAAAGAGTATCCAACCATTGGTTACGATAGTCGGGCGGACCCCAAGTAAGTAGTCTGCGTCTACAAACATGGCTCAGACCAGGGGTTCGTGACTTCAGGCACTGATGCCATGTTTTGGTTTGGCCGCTCTTAACTTTTTTCCAACCCTCACTACCACTTACACGGTGATTACAACAGATGCGAACAACATTTCTAAGAAATCTATGATCAAATACTAGTAGCTTACTAGTATCTTCTGCTCTTAATGGCCACGTTTCACAGCTTTAAAGTAAAACGGAACGAACTGCCGCACAGTATACTCTCCCCTTGATTGATAGACGGATATCTCGCCTTCGCAATAGGTCACGTAAGTTGACAAAAAACAAACGAGCTTTCTGAATCCATGCAGAGATTCCGTCAGACACCAACCCATTAAGGATGGTCAGACTTCCACGATAAGCGGAGTTGTCGACACGTTCGACTACTTCACTCTCTATCCTTAGTTCAGGTGTTGGCGCAGACCAGTCCTGAAGTAACAACTTGCATTTAGATGGGGGGAAACGCATCCCAAACACCCTGGCATTGTTTCTCAGTTCTACCAAAAGACTGAATTAGCGTCTTCACCAAACAGGACTGTGTCATCTGCATGTTCTAAGTTGATAAGTGGACCTCCTGGTAGGAGATCAATACCCGAAAATTCAGTCGACAAGAACATTATTTCCAGCAGTGAGTCTATGATTAAATTGAACAAAAATGGAGATAGTGAACAGCCTTGGGTTTTCCTGACTAAAGAATAACTTCTAGAGCTAACTACCAGATTTATCATCTGAGCCTGAAACTGACTCACTAAAATAAACTAGACATCCAAAGAAGCACACTAAGAAAAGAAACAGGGTTTGTGTTTTCCCCTCAAAGGACAAATCGAAATTGCAATTTGACACCCACTAATTAACTATGACAGTATGTTCAAACTGTCAACGTAATAATACGAGAACTATGTTGATAAACAACTTCTCGACATCTAAGTGGTTATGAAAAGAGTACCGACTTGGGTGATGAACAAGAACGAGTACCACCCAATCTGCTAAGTTTGGGGAAATTTTGGGGAAACTCCCGAAGTCAAATGGCATTCACCAAGGTTAAGGGGAATTTCAGGGAAATATTGAGGTTTTATTGCCATTCCCCCAAAGTTTACTATAGCGGGTTTCCCGAAATTTTCCCAAAATGGGTCAACTTTTCCCCAAAATGGGTCAAATTTTCCCCCAAAATTGGGAGCTCGGCTATGCATCAAGCAATCTAGAACAACGACAAAGCCATGTCCGATAAGCCCTAAGGATGCGGAAAAGGTTAGGACTCTAGCATATCTAGATTTATATGGTTTTAAAACCTTTAACATATATATGTATGCAGGGGACTAATGTATGCACTAACAAGTATCTGAAGTCCGACTCTCAGAGCAAGATGATCGATGGATCATGAAAAAGGAATTTGAAAAACATCTAGAAAACGATGTTTGAATAAACAAACAGAAAGCTACAACTACACCAACATACCTTTATACCTTCCGCACTTTGAGTTACAGAGACATCTTTCTGCTGTCCAACCTGACATGAAGTGGCAATATTAATAGCCCCACGCTTAAGTTGTGTCAACGCGCAGAATCGGGAGCTCTGTAAGAAAAAACCGTTTGACCAATATACGTAGTAGCTTACCGAAGACATCTGAAGACCCACAGAAAAAGGGATGGTTAAAATGTCAGGTTCGCTTGAATCTGCCTCGTTCCTTCTAACGACCTTGAATAGCTTGATATGGGGCGGCCATTTCGTAATCCAATTGCCGTGGGTTTGTTGGGTGTCCGCTGAGTTGAGTGAATATTAGTTGTCCTCATATTTAAGTTGTCTTTTCATGCGAATAAAATTCAGTGAAATAAATTTATGTGCAAACAGTAGTCTTAATACGAAGTAAACGATCAAAACAATAAAATTTACTCATCGAGGGAAGAAATGACGGATGAGTATCTCGTGGACCCATGTACCGATGTACGATAAGCTAGAAGGCATTGGTGCAGTACATCATCCCATAAACCCGGCAACGTCCTCCTGACGAACGACTGTAGGATGGCTTTAGTAGTTCCGTTTGTTCTTTCTACAAGGCCGTTACCCTCTGGGTGATACGCAGTAGTGCGTCTTCTTGATTCCTAATAGCAGGCATATTTGAGCGATGAGATGACTTTCAAAGGCTGGACCTTGATTGTAATGAGGTGAGAATGGGGCACCGTAACTGGAAACCCGATGATCAATGAAAGCTCGTGAAACCGTGAAGGGGTCTTGCTGTGAGATGGGTATTGCTCCACGGCGCTTAGTAAAATAATTCACCATAACTAATATGTAGCGGATTTCTTTTTTGGCGGTTATCAGTGCCCCATGATATCATTGCCCACTCGCTGGTATGGTCCTGGTGCCCTTTCGGGATCAACGGTGCACGGGATGTTTCCTGAGGCGATTTTATACAGCAACACGTGTTACAATCTTTACTCGCGGAAGTATTGGCGAGGATTGTCTCGATTTATTAATTAGGAATAACGTGTTAACACACAACTTGAAGCTGCTCCATTTTCTGCAAATACGACAATTTGTTACGGCTCCCTCATGGATGGCTTATTATTTTCATGCATATGCCTTTGGTAAATAGGCTGCAGATCCTGATCTGCTGCTTGCAAGGAATACCAAGCAATCTCCAGGGCTGTACAAACGATAGCATTAATGGTATCAGGGGTCTGAGGTATCTGGGACAAAACATCCACATTTGCTTGTTGGTTTCCCGGTCGACACTCGCATGTGAAACTGAACTCCTTTATCCGTTCTCGCCAGCGTGTTACATGTCCTTCTGGTTCGCGGAAAGAACGAAGCCGTGCGCACACGAAAGTGTCGACCCATTAGATAACGAAGAAAGCGTTGTAGGAATTTTACCAACGCTAACATCTCGCAGCGTGTTGTGGAATATCTCGCTCCACTGTTGTCTAGTCGTCGACTAGCGTACGCAATGGCCGAAGAATTAGCATCCATATTAAGCATTAATCGCCCCCATCTCCTGAGGTGTCCAGGAAGGCTAACATGGGTGCGGTGGTAAGCTGTGCCTTTAAAGTATAGAACGCATGCTGACACTCGGTGGTCTGTTAAACCCCCGTTCTTTGTGTGTCAATCGATGCAAAGGTGCTACTGTAGTGAACAGAACACCAGCGGGGACATTCGAATGTATTTGAGCACAAATTACAGAACATTTCACTCAAATCTGAGAACCATATATAGTAAATCATTAATTTACAAAATATTAATCCATCGTCGCAAAATCACTGTTCCTTTTGCAAATATCAGTCCATTGCCTCAGATTTCATTTCTCATGCCTTTTCATACCACTTGCGTACCGTTTCCGTTCTTTCCTTATCGATCTGCTGAAAAACATTCTATGCCTGACCACCGCCATATACTACTGAAGAACTGCTTTTACGTTAGCGATGTGTTGTTCGGGATTTCTGCCATAAACAATGTTATCAATATATATCAAGCATTAGTCTTTGAAAGATAGCTGAAGCATTCGTTAACCCAAATAACATCACTTGAAGCTCATATGAACCATTTAGTACTATGAATGTGGTTTTCTTCCTATCTCGAGGTCGAAGTTCCACTTGCTAATACCCAGATGCCAAATTCAGAGTCGAAAACCAACAAGCGCCTTTCACGGATACTAATGTAGCGTCTATCAATGGAAGAGGAAAAGAATCATGTTTAGTTATAACATTAAGACGTCCGTAATCTACGCACAGTCGTAGAGAACAGGCTTTTTTTCACTAAAAAATAGGTGAGGCCAGTGGGATGATGAGGGGACAACAATCTTTTCGTCCAATATATCATTTATCATCGCATCCGGTTGCGGTTGGTAGTGTACTTATGCTCTGTGAGGTGGCTGACGAAGAGGCATGTGGTCCCCTATGAAAAGTGTTGTATGTGTCGCCCGGTTTCCGGGGATACTCCACTCGACCCACCACTAAACTGTTAAAGTACAGCAATGGCTACGCGACGGCCATTTTCGTTAAATAGTTGATTTCCTTGTTCCTGGCGTGTAATTTCTGAAACTCCCTCATGAGATGCAGGCTTAGTCGGCTTCACCTGGTGTTGTAGGTGCACCAAAGCCACCAATTTTCGCCTCCGACCTGACATGTCCAACATGAAATCAACGCCGGGTATCATGTTCCAAGTAAGTGTGGGGCAAACTAACAATGCATGTCATACGAATGCTTGACTGTCGTTAATCTTAAAGTGTCTAGAGCACGCATTTAAAGCTCACACTTGTGTGATTAGTGCAAGAGAACATACTTTCAGCTGCGGCTAGCGCGTCTTAACGGAGCGCATGGCCGGTAAGAGTAGACGATATTTGCAAGGAACAGGCGGTTATCTGAGCATAGCTGCAACAGACGGTCGCCATTATATGTTCTTTGAGCCACGACAACATAAAATCCACCCAGGTGTCTTTCCTTTTCGCTTAGTTTACCTACTTAAGCATTAAAGTCACCAGCCATTATTACTATATCACAGCACCTAGCTTTTCGGTGAAGGTCGGAAAGCTTTCTGTAAAACTCATCTTTTACATCATCTGAACTGCAGTCAGTGGTAGAGTGGGCAGAGACGACGAAGAAGTAACGACGTGTGTCCCTATCTTTCTGAATCCCTACTGTTCCGTTTAGTCAGACAGCGCACAAACGACTGTCTACTGGGATCCAGTCTAGGAGAGCTAGTTCCGCCGTAGAAATCATTGCCACACCTACACCGACGAGGCCATGGGAAGCAGCATCAGGGCTTCCAGATACGCGAAGCACGAATCGAGTCAGTTCTTTATTCTGATACGGTGAGGTCAAATGAATGACGCTACTTGGATCCTGTATGCGCGTTTCGGAGACGCAGCACACATCGATGTCGCGAGATTCTAGAGTCCTAGCTAAGGAAGCCTGCCGTCCTATTTGGCAAAGTGTTCGTACGTTAAAAGCTCCTACGTGTAGATTAGAGCGTGGTTATGGAGATAAGAGAGGAATTAGGAGGTGTAGGAAGGATTTGAATGTGACCAACGTGGTCTCGTGTGATGTTACGGGTATGAGGGCTGATGTCACTTCCCGGCTGCCCACACCGTGGAAGGGTATTTCTTGAGGAACCTGAAAAGGAAATTGGATTAGTGTTGGTCTTAACGACCCGGGAGCGCGACCACAGAGCCCAAGGGACAACTGCTTGAGGCCGGTCGCGCACGGCCTTTTCGTGGGTTTTTTTGACGAGTTTGCTCCGTTCTTCAAAGGGCCTTACCGCCGGAGACGGAGATCCGTGAGGTAAGGTGAGGTGTGACAATTTTAGGGTCGACCTTTTCCAATCCCTTCCTTCCTTGTGGGAAGGCAGCATCGCTGTCATGCTGGTTGTCCGAGGGAAACACCTTACTGCTGTCACACCTCTCTACAGTCAGCAGTACGACTTCACCCTCAGACCTTGAGTTGCTGCTTTTAGTCTTACCGTTCACCAATCGACCTGCCTGGCATGGTAGAACCTACAGGAACATATGTTCCAGCCAATATAGCTCGGTTGGGTCATCACGATAGGCAAGCCCGACCACCGCGTCAAGGTAGCAGCTTCGCTCGGGAAGCCAGACAAAAAGACTAAACATAACATAGCTACGGTAAATTAAGTTACAAACTGAAGATGTCTATCGACATTCAATTGAAAAAGTAAAAGTAGACAGATATAAAGATACGATACCCGAAAAATCAACTTAAAGCACAACACTTTTAAAGAAATTGAGACAGAAAGGCTTGTATTTATAGTAAGACAAATACATTTTCTTAAAATAATATAAATGATTATTAGCTCAGTCTGAAAGAAACTGAATGCTAAATCAAAAATCAGCAACAAACAAAAATATTTTTATGTACGTAATAAAGAGAAATAACTAAAACTGCAATAACAATCTCGCTTCTAAACAAATTACGCTTTCGTGTTACCGCATCTAATTATTCAGCATCGAAAATAGTAAATACGAAAGGGTAGTTGGAAAGGTAATATAGACAACAAACAGTACATAACATCAATAGCAAATAACTAATGCATAATTAACATGAAAGTGAAAATTAAAACAGAACAAAGGAATGAACGAGGTACATAGTAGGATAGAAGGAAGAAAAATATTAACGGTTTGATGAACGTTATGAAGTGTTTTGGTAGTATAACTGCCGAAGTTGTTTGGCTTCTGCACTCATTACATCGTGTGATCGATAGACGCGATTTCTCACTTTATCATGACTTTGTAACTACAATGAGAACATACATAAAATGAAATGTACTTCTTAAAAATTTAAGTGAGTTACAAGATTTACATTCATGCATTAGTTTTTCTCGATATACTAAAGCAATCTGAGAGTGCTACAGATCACATATTGCAATATTCAGAGAGATAGTGTAGTACGCTGTTAGAACCCGATCGTTGTTGCTACCTTGACGTGGTGGTCGGGCTTGCCTATCGTGATGAAGCAACCGAGCTATACTGGCTGGAACAACTGTTCCTCAAGGTCTCACCATGTCAGACAGGTCGGTTGAAGAGCGGTAAGACTAATAGCAACAAACCCAAGGTCCGAAGGCGCTTTTTTAGCTCAAAACTGAGTCAACTATCTGACGCCTCTAACGTAAGACATTAAACATGTTTATATTTCCACTCAACTTGCTTAAAACACTACATTTTATTAATGTCTTCATCAATTCAACTATAAAAGCTTACAGTAGTTCGGGCAATATCCGGTT